TATACGCAAATTTTCATCTAACCATACTTCCAAGCACTATCGGTTTTCTCAGCTGACCAATTAGAGCACAGCTGATCTGTCATGTGATGGCATCTTCCCTCGTTTTCAAGATAGCTCTCCTGTCACTACTTACCAGTGTTGCCGTTTGCGGGTATTTTATTCGGAAATCGGGTATTTTCGTCATGTTTGCGGGTAGAATTTTGAAGCGGGTAAAATCGGATATTTTGCAAGTTTCGATCACAATACTAACTGAAGATATTTTCAGTAAATAATATTGTATGTTTACTAAAAATGCATAATTATTTTGTTCTATATAGGATATCCTGTTACATTTTTATTTACTTATATAAAAATTTTAAATTAATTTAATTATTTTTTTAAACAGGGCGTATGCGCTAGTTTTTTTTTGTACCTATTTTGTAATTTTTGGTCGGGAACTTTTATGACATTCATCCGGCAACACTGTATAAAACACATGAAGATCAACCATATTTGTTTTATGAGTTTTATAATCTGTGTATGAGTTCGACCAGAGATTGTTATAGTTATTATACCTTATGTACCTATGTACTTAATCAACAAGGGATCTGTATGTACACAAACCAAACGTATCTCCAAACTGTTTTATTCTGTTCAATTAAAATAAAGTTTGTTTACCTATATTGTAAACATTGCTTCCGTGTTTTTATAAGCCTTATAACAACAAAAAAATAGTGTTCATAAATCCTTTTCATTGTGCTTTCTTTTGCAATAACCAAATACAACATCTCTGAATAATTCCGGATATTTATTTTAATCGCTATAGGTACCTACCATTTCTCTGCTAAAAGTCTTATTAAGTCTTAAAAAGTCTTATTAACTCTTCCAGAAGACTCCCAAATCTTGCTATTAGTCTGACTTACTAAGACTTATTCAGACTTTTTCCGACTTAATAAGTCTTATTCTGACTTTTTCCGACTTAATAAGTATTATTCAGACTTTTTAAGAGAAAGTAAGACTTTAAAAACTCTTATTATAACTTTCTCAGAGAAATATTTCCACAAGGGAATGCTGTCTGTGGTAGCAAATCCAAAACTTTCATTGCGCAAAAGGAAGTCATTGATGCAACAAAACGTAAGTAAAGATACTGTAGCGAGAATTTTGAAACTAAATAAATACAAACCATTTAAACCAAAATTCATTCAAAGATTGAAAGAAAGGGATTATAATAGGCGCTTTAATTTTTGCTTTCTTATCCAAGGAGAGTTAGAAGAGGAAACTTTTTTTACGAGGCATATAATTTTTTCCGATGAAGCAACGTTCTCGTCAAATGGAACTGTCTCGTCACAACATTGTCGCTGGTGGTCTGAAGAAAATCCTAATTTTACAATAAAGGCTCATGACCAATATTCATTTAAGACGAACGTGTGGTGTGGCATTTATAATAACGCCAAGCTATGAATGCCGAACGTTATTTACAGTTTTTACAAACTCACATCAATGACTTTATAGACGAACTACCCTTGCAAGAACGTCAATGTATTTGGTTTCAACAAGACGGTGCCCCATGCCATAGTACATTGAATGTTAGAGAATGTCTTGAACAAATGTTCCATGGAAAAGTTATGCACAGATATTCTAATACTTTTTGGCCTGCTAGATCCCCTGACTTAACCCCCCTTGATTACTTCTTATGGGGTTACTTGAAACAAAAAATTCACCAGGCCGTTTCAAGATGTTAATCATTTGGAAAGGATAATTTTAGAAACATGCCAGGAAATTTCTCCACAAATAATAAGGAATGTATTAGGTGAATTTTCTAATAGAATAATAAAATGTATTGAACGAGAGGGTGGATATGTCGAGGCGTTAGTGGAATGAGTGAAAATTAAATTTCCATTTATTTCTAGTATTAATATTATGTTAATTACACTTGTGTAAAAGTTGTAACTTAGTATTTGTATGTGTTTTTTTTGCAAAATAAATTAATTAATTACGTGTTAAAATTGCAAAATTTTTAGAAAACATTTAAAAACGAAAAGGTTTTCATGTTTTTTGTAATCATATAACAGATAAATGTTCATTTAAAATGGAAAGATTGGTAAAAATTAACAAAACCTAATTTTTTAATATAAATGGATGAAATTGCATATTTGAACGTAGTTTTTAGTTCTGATTAACTTTTCTTTATAACAATTTTCGATATTGTCAAAAAAAAAGGTACTTTACTCCTGAGCCAAATTCATATTTTTTGACATACCCCGTATACGACTAAAAAAATTTAATATTTGTGGGTTGCATTTTAAGTTTTACACCATTTAAAACTTTTTATAAATTATAACTTTTTTCCTAAAATTAATAATAAAAAAGTTTTCCATATGATTCCAAGATACTGAGACATATATATATATATGTATATATTAGGGTGGGTTGAAAACAAAATGTTTGTTTCTTTTTCTTAGCATGGGGGTAGAATTTGTACCTTATAAAAAAAGAAAATAAAAAAAAAAATTTTTACTCAACATCTTGAGGTGGCCCACTCGTTTTTTAAATAAATATTTAATCAAATGGGGTAGTTCCAACGGGAATCTGTAGAATCTGGAGGGTGTCCCCTTAAATGCCAATTGGAAGTCAAAATTGAAAAAGTTTTTTTCCCATTGTTTTTGTAATTTAAGTAAAAAATTAAAAAATGAAATGCACTTTCTTTTGTATTAGAATGAAAGTTGAGTGAATTCTACCCCCATGCTAAGAAAAAAAACAAACATTTTGTTTTCAACCCACGCTAATATATATATATATATAGTATATATTAGACTGGGCCAAGAAATCAACTATTTTTTTTTTGAAAAGTATATCGAAAATATGGTTTGGGGTGATAAAAAAATATTATTGTGAAAGTTCGAGTCCATAATATTAATATTAAGAGGTCTATCATCGCAATTTTAATTTTTTTTTCCTCAGCAAGTTTTTGTCTCAGAACTCCCAAACCATTGAGTTTAACAAAATTGACTCGAAAATATTTTTTTAAGAAAATTAAATGTTCTACAAAAAAGCTTAAAGTGAAATTTTCCGTCAGAGAACCGCTTCCTTAAAATCATGCCTTAAAAATTGGTATAGTTTTACATTTTGATCTTTTAAATTGGAATTTTGTAATTTATGTAAAAATCAGTACCCATAAAAAACCGATAAATATTCTTATGAGAAATCAAATGCTTTAAAAAAAAGCCTCTCAACATTTTTGGCTAAATTCACTCAATCAAAAGTTATTCAAGGTTAAAATTTCGTTTTGACTTAAAATTTAACCTTGAATAACTTTTGATGGAGTGAATTTAGCCAAAAATGATAAAAGACTTTTTTTGTAGAGCATTTGATTTCCCATAAGAATATTTATCGTTATTTTTTCAGGGTACTGATTTTTACATGCATTACAAAATTCCAATTTAAAAGATCAAAATGTAAAACTATACCAATTTTTAAGGCATGATTGTAAGAAAACGGTTCATCTGACGGGAAATTCCAATCAAACCTTTTTTGTAGAGCATTCAATTTTCTTCAAAAAATATTCTTAAGTCAATTTTGTTAAACTCAATGATTTGGGAGTTATGAGACAAAAACTCGCTCAGGAAAAAAAATCTAAAATTGCGATGATAGACCTCTTAGGGGCCGTCCATAAATGATGTCACACACTTAGGGGGGAGGGGGGTCGTCTAAAATGTGACAGTTTGTGACAGCCGGGGGGGGCTTTGGGAGGTTGTGATGTCACAAAATTATAAAAATATTTTGGAATTTAATAATTAATAATGGTTATAAACTGGATATTAAGATTTTATTTTAAACAAAAATTTCGTGAGGTAGACCTTACATAAAAATTAAATCAGTGTGACGTGACGCCAATGGGGAGGGGGGGGTCCCATAATTTGTGACACTTTGTGACAAGTGGGGGAGGGGGGGTCAAAAATATTAAAAAAACGTGTGACATCATTTATGGACGGCCCCTTAATATTAATATTATGGACTCAAACTTTCACCATAATTTTTTTGTCACCCCAAACAATATTTTCGATACTTTACAAAAAGATTTTTTTGGCCCAGTCTAATATATATATATATATGTTGTTTTTAATTAATTACCCATATGGTTAATTATTTATTATTTTTATCAGTGTAGAAACGTTTTAGATATGTGTATTTTTTATTATAGATTTGCATGATATTTTTAAAAACAACTATTATAACGATTGTTTAGTAAACAGATCAACATTCGTCAGATGGTTTTGTCTAGAAAAAATGAACCAGGGTTGGGCTACATCCATTAATTACGTGGGGCACTGTTTCTAATGTAGACCCCTCCCTCCCCCTTGGTGAGATTTGGTGAGATGTGGTAGACCCCCCCTATCCCTCACGTGAGATTCTTAACTTTCATTGCAGACAACATGATAAACCAAAAAAAAATTGATTACTTTTTTTTGACAAATTTGAATTATAATACTTATTCTTTGAACCCAAAAGTTGACGTGAGATTTTAAATGACCCCCCTCCCTTAACATGAGATTTGGTGAGATCCCCCCCCTATTTTTATCTCACATAATTAATGGATGTCCCCTTAGCTGTTTAAATTTGATTTAAAAAAAATATTGTAAAACTTTTTGAATGTCCCCCTATATATTGTTTTTAAGGATAAAAACGGTAATATGGATATGAAAATAAAATATTGTCTAATTATCTACATTATAATAAATAAATAGCAGTTTTAAATTTATTTAGGAACAAAATTTAAATTATATATTTAACAGAAACTAAATACCTTTTTTTAAACGAAAGTATCTGGAATTTTATATATTATTTTATAATACCTATAGGTATTCGAGTATATAAGAACGTAATATTATGGATTTTTATAATTATGGAATTTAAATATAGATTATTTAAAATACTACACATTTTTGCCAAATAATACCAATAATATTAATTGTTATAACTTTGAGATTAATTATTAATAACTAATAAGCTGTTTTTTTTAGTCGCGCAGGAAAAATGTGAAGAAAGTTAGAAAAGCAGAAGATTTAGACGATTTAAAACAGGAATTGGACATTGATTATCATAAAATTTCACCAGAAGAATTGTATCAAAGATTTCAAACACACCCTGAAAATGTAAGCATTATTTACAATATTATAAATTTGTATATATACAATTTTTAATTGAGGGTTTCTTTAAATATTTTACACTCAATTAGAGCCTATATATGTTAAGAAGGCCTAAAAGGACACCTTATTTATTTATATAATTTATAATGGTTATAATACTAATACCGAGACTAATACATTATAGTTCGGTCGACAAAAATTGATAAGTTATGTTCTGATGTAGTCATTTGGAATTGGTATCCATTTAAACAACAAAGTTTTCTACATAATTTATCATACTTGCGTCTTCTTTTTGTCTTACAAATAGAACCGCCCAGGAAATTAGTCAGGTAAACATAATATATTTTATAATAATATTATGTTGTCTCTGTTAACAATATGTGCAATGTGCTACCCTGAACGGGAAATAAAGTTAAATTCAATATTGATATAGCATTTAAAAAAATTATTACTAATAGTTTATATACACAACCATCTATAACACCTATATTGCACCCAATAAACTTAATTAACTTAACCCATCTGCACTCTACTCCCGTCAATTTCAATTATTTATTTATTCTATTAAATGGTACACAGTTTACATTGTTTTTTCCTTTATGTAATATTTTATATTAGAAACTAAAATAGATTCTTGATTTTTAATTTTTACTGTATTTCACCTAATCACGTATCCGTGATTTTGTTGAAATAAAATAATATTACAAATAAAAGAAATATCTATATTAAATGTTTAAATAGGAATTACAGTTAATTTTTGTTCATTAAATTATTTTATTAGCTTAGAAGAAAGTAAACACAAATATTAACATAGTATACTATGTATAGTATAGTATACATTATAATTTATTTGTATCACAATATAGTGGGACTACTTAATAAAAATTTAATTTTTTTGAATTCTATTTATTTCGGTCCTGATATGAATTTCTGTTTCAATTTTAAATTTTCTTAATGCCTTTAGTTTATTTGGTAGGATGTTAGAGCATCTTGGGCCAATATAAATAAAATATATCTCTGCGTAAAAGTCTTTTTAAAAATAGGTAATTTTATATTATTATTAGAATTGTGTCTTGTATTATGTGAATAATAAATTTTACTTTCCGTCTGATATTAATATATAAAAGGCACTTATGTATATAGATTTGTCTAATATTTAAAAGTTTTGTCTCGAGATATAAATTATTAGTGCAGTACATTATTTCTACTCCTATTACGGAATTTGACCGTTCTAATATCACTTTTATCTATGGTATTATTATGTGTGTTATTATGTGTGTTATATTATGATAGAATATTTCTGTAACACTTTATATATCACCAAAATAATGTAAAGTTCATTAGCACTATTCTTACCAGCCCTTACCACTTAAAACCCGCATACACAATGTGTACACATGTACTTCTTGCACGATGGGGCACCACCTCATTTCAGCGTTGCTGTGCGGGAGCACTTAAATATAGTTTATCCAAACCATTGGATAGATAGAGGAGGACCTATTAACTGGCCTCCTCGATCTCCCCGACCTTACGCTGATAGATTTTTTTCTGTGGGGACACCTAAAAAACTTGGTGTATTCCACTCCGATCAATACTAGGGAGGAACTTCTACAGATAATCACGTTTCATTGTGATATGTTAAGAAACAATTCTGGGTTATTCTGGCGGCTACAGCAGTCCTCAATTCGTCGTGCCCGCGAATGTATCAGAGTTCACGGAATCCATGTTGAACCCTCTTATAAAGTTTTTAAATCATTGTTTCGAATTATCGTCCTTCAACTTAAGGTTTGCAACAATACGTTATATTATTTTTTTCTAAAACGGTTCATTTTATTGACAATAAACAAGAGTACCTTTATTTTAGTTTAAGGTTCAAGCTATGCAGATTTAGTTTTTTTAAGTCTTTGTCATACGGGGTGTTCAAAGTTTAACCATTAAGAAGTAAAACTTAGTCCGCCCCTGGTAAACAAAAAAAGCAAAACATGTTTCAATTACACTATTTTAAGAAATCCTTACCAGGGTCCATCATATTAAATTTTTATTAAATTATACTCAGTACTTTAAAAGTTATTCAAGGAAAACCAATTTGCAGGGGAGTCCTTTCGGGGCCCATGTCTCCGTAAGGAGGGCCAGTAGGAAAAAAATGTATAGGAAAGTGTCATCTTATTTTTTCATGTTTTATCTAAATCCGAGATATTTCCCACATTTACCCGTACACCCTGTATATTAGGAATATAACACCTGCTTCACTTAACCTTTCCAGCAATACCTCATAGTTAACCGTGTCCAAAAACACTTAAAGCCTTTTCCGTTTTGTTTCTTAATTATTTACCACTGTTTTAGTTAAAGCTAGAATGGCACCCATACAGCACAAGATGTCCATTGGGCGTCAAATGGACTTACATTGGACGTTTGGATGTACAATGGTCGTCCGCTGGACGTCCAATGGATATATGTGCTGTCTGGGCATCTTCAATTTGACATTTTTATCCTAAAGCCAAACTGTTTATTATTAAGAATTTTAAAATTATCTAGGTATTCAGTTAAGGGGGATTTAATAGTTTGCTCACAAATTTTTGCAAAGTTACTTATGGACGAGATTGGTATAAAATTTGTACATAAACTTTGCTTATAAACGGTTACCACTGATTCTTTCCAGGAGTCTGGAACAATGCCTGTTTTAAAGCTCCAAAGGTATTAGAATTAAGCGATGAATAGTTTTAATGGTATACGCGTATATACCATCTGGACCTAAAGCAGATTTATTTTTTAACTTTGAAATGTACATTAAAATGTCTTTTTCGTTTATAGGTTTTAAAAACATAGGGTGGAAATTTATAAAGTATTCGTTAAAGATTTTAGCTATTTCTTTACTATTTGTTGTGATGTTGTCATCCTCGTTCTCAATAAGCTCAATACCTTGTTTTGTATTTTTTTAGTTAGATGCCTCGGTTATTACATTCCAGAATTTTTTAAAATCACATTTTGCTTTATTTATTTTATTCTTTATTAAATATTTTTTTCGCAGTGATTGCTTATAAAGTGCAAATAGTCTGTAGTGTGGCAACTAGTGTGTGTAGACCACCCTACGGTCAGGGAAGTGTTTAAATGGAGTTGTAGGGTGACACCTTACGGGTGGTCGACCGCGGTCTAGCCAAGTATTTGGATGCTTTTCACGAGACAAACAAAAGAGGATAACCAAGGGAGGAAAGGCCAATCTGCAATCCCCGATAAGTAACCTTAAACATCTGCATGACCTGGCACTTTTCGCTTAAACATAAGAAAAACTAACAAAAAAAATAACAAAATAAAAAAAGTCAAAATAAACAAAGTGCACCAGTAACATTAAGACAATAGTAACAAAACAACAACAAGAAAAACAAAACAAAACCGCTCCAACTCTTAACTCGGTCACAGGAAAGCTGACTAGGACAATAAATCTATCAATCACAATCGACCAAGACTAAACCCATAAAACAAACAAAACGTTATGCTAAACGATACCATATAAACACTTGAAATCCAAACGAACATTAAATTAAGAAATCATAAACACACAAACCGAATTCTAATGGAATTGGTAATTACATTAGTATACAGTGGAAGTCAAAAAATACCTTCCACCGGTAATGTCTAATCGCATCAATTGCTTAATTGTTTAATACAAAGATAGGATTGCAACGCGAAAGAAAACAGACGAGAGAAAATACCAAGTGCAGGAATAACCTGACACGGACAGAGACAATATCGGTCAAGACGTTGACCACGACCAGTACACTAGGCCCCTGCAGCGAACTAACAACTAAGAGTCATCCCAAATGTTTGGAGTAATACTAACTTCCTGGTCTAGGGGGATCCCGCGTCGTACTTAGATTTGTGTCGGCGTAATTGTCGCCCAAATACCAAACTGTCTATCCCTCCCGTCCTACCTCCTTCATGATCCTACTGAGCGTACAGCATCGGCCCGGCGAACCCGGGAATGGCTATTAAAACTATTGGGCTCTCGAGCCCCAAATAAGGTACAGTACGGGACGCAATGGACATTCGCACCCAGCGAAAAAAATCGGCGTAACGTAAAAGAGGCCTGTGCGGGGTCCGGGAGTGATGAGGCAATGGGTCCGGTTATACGTCTCTTATACTCATACTCATATTAAATATTTTTTAAATTTATCCCTTCTATGTATACATTCTATAAGGCCGTTATACATGGTTTAAGCTTAGTATGTTTTCGTATATTTAATTGTTTAGAGGCTTTTTTAATATTTGTTGGTTGCAACATTTACATCACTGCAATTTAAAACGTGATACAAGATTCATTTTGTAATATATTTTAGTTTATAATAATTAATTTTATTAAAACTAACAACTTTTTTATTGTTAAAATGTGCCTGGTTATTATCTTTAAAATATATTGATGCTAATATTGTAAAATGATCGGTTAAATTGGTTTCAATAACAAATGATTTTATATTTGTATTTTTATTAATTACTGAGTTTTCATTTTATAAAAATATGATCTAATATAGTTTCCAAATATAGTTTTTCGTGTTGGTTGTTTAATGTAGGAAATTCAGCCATTTTCCTCTAAACAATTAGAATATGAATTGACTTTGTTATCATTAATATTTTTAAGATCAAAATTTATATCTCCAATGAAAAATTCAACATATTTTCCAAAGTGGATAAATATACTGATAGGTCAGTTATATATGTTGTACCACCTATTATAGGTGGTTATATATAATTTAAGGTGGTCTGTATGATGCTGTCAAACCAATATTTACATTATTTTTTGTACAATTTACTTTCATTACATTTGTTTGTGTTAAATTAATTATATTCGTTTTGGCGACAAGATGTTTTTTGTATAAACGATTAATCCATCAGCTTTATTTATTTCAGACTGGTTAAAATAAATATCAAAATTAAGTAAAATAATCACTCACTGTTTCTATTTTCCATACTTCTACAATTATGTCCACTTTATCGTTTACATCCTCCAAATA